ATATTTTACGACACCAACACTCTATATTATAATTAACGAAATAACAGTACAACAGTAAATACGGAGAACTAAGTTTTGGAACGTAAACGCGGATAAGTCGACTTGTTGGTCTGGTGCAATTTGATTACGAAAGTTATAACTACGTATAACTTAACCAACGCGATGGTAACGTTTAAATTTCCTCTGAGCTGTTTATTTTACTTCATAATAGTTACGGAACTATTAAAAGTAACATACACAAGAAAATATCATAACGTACCTAATCTTTATAATGCTTTTCGCTTGAAATATTTAAATTTAGAAGCTACATACTAAAGAAAAATTAGTATATCTTATTTCATAGTTAAAATTTTATGATAATTATAAACTAGTCTTGCTTGAGCTTTAAATATGTCCACTGCATTACCTTAACGCTAATAAAAGGAACATAATTTTAAGTTTGAGACATAAAAATGTCATCATTTTCCCTACCTAGTAATTGAAATGCTATTGAGATTACAGAGATAACTCTGTAAAAGATCTCTTATAAAAGAGGGAATAGCTACACAATAATTTAATATGCAACTATACTCGAACGCCGTAATCACCATGTAACAGTACGTAGCAGCCACTTGACATCTCACTGTAGAAAATAACAAACTCCTGCAGAATTATTGTATTTTAGCTGCCAAGACTTAGGTACCGTATGGCGGAGCCCCCGATTCTGAAAACCATCTCTGGAAGTTTTAGATAGAAGTTCTCAACGAACACAATTCCAGACGGGTATCGACGGGTATATATAATTTATTTAAATGAAAATATTTTGATGTAATGTATCTTCAATATTTTATTTCTACGCATTCCCGAGGTTGCGATTTCTTTTCAGCAACCGTGACTAGGAACAGACGAGATAAAACATGGATTTATGTAATAAAACAAAACTACACTTTTATAACTTTTTTAAAAACTATTTATGTAAGAAACTTGTAAAATAAATTTCAATAACTTTTAGAGTGAATTTACAATAACATAATAAAATGGGTACGTTACGAAAACTCATAACTCATAATCGTTATAGGAAAACATTACAATCATTTGAAATAACGTAATTAGTTAATTGATTTTATGGGTGCGGAGTATAAAATCAATCAGTCAGAGGTGTAGGAAAAGATAAGACAACTTATTCGGTGACTTCAATAATTATTTATTATATTTGAAATGTCTAAAAACACTTTACAAATTTTAGCCCATAAATTAATAGCCAGAGGGAACCTATTTAAACCTATTTCGAGTTTTCCACTATGTGATTCATATACTACAGAAATTGGAAATATTTTATGCAATAAACATACATATGTATGTCTCTTTGTAGACTATAACTGAAACAATCTCTTGGTTATTTTTATACTTATTTAAATAGGTTATACTATTCCAAAAAAAAATACATGAAAGTTATTTCTAACTATAGTTTTTACTTTTAGTAGTAATAAAACAACAAAACTTAATTTAATAAATCTTCAAACCAAGGTCACCTTTTTATTATTGTATAATTATTAGTATTTTATATTAAAAACATCATCTAAACTGTTTAACAAGCCATAAAAACCTAAATTATACGAAAAGTTACTTCTACATAGAGCATGTGTCATATATCTTCTCGGAGACACTTAAATTTTATTCTTGTACTCCACTTGATTATTAAAATCAGAACTTACTTAAAAGTTACCTTTTATTTCTTATATAGTATAATATAGGTATATGTATACATATCTAAGATCTTTGCGAGTGTTTATTTCAATGAAACTGGTGTAATACATCGAAAAATAGTAGTTTCATTCAAATACAGTTAATTTTTCTGATTATATACCTAAAATAATGCCGATTATAAAGTTCTCTCTAAAAATGTTATACTACACCGAGTCTATAAAGGCAAACATTGCGAATATCACCTTATGAATGCTTTAAAAATTTTAGCTTTTATGTATACAAAAGATGTTAATAGTTAAAACGTATCTTGTATCTTATAAATGTTAAAAAAGTACAAAGTTTAATTAAAGTAATTCTGTGATAAACATTGAAAAGTATCCACTGAATATATCCAACATTATACCTCGTTAAACTGGACTCTAGTGAGCAACAAACTAAAACTTTGCTATTGGAAAATTGTTGTCAGCAAACATCGACAGAGAACGAGTTATTAATAGTTTATCAATTTCTAACAAGTTTACAAACACAAAGCAGAATCACTATTACTCTTATATTATATTGCCTTTTACCAATTTTTATAATTCTAAGAATGGAACTTAATCAACAGAATTAATTTAATTAATTCTTTTGATTAGATGGTTCTGCCAACATTAAAAGTATTAAAAAAAACTCTTAAAATATTCTTATTTCGTAATACAATAACGCAAACATATTTCTAATATTAAAAAATATTTCTGTAATTATGCAATGATTGTATCAAAAGAAAGTCTAAGTTACTATGTCTCCACGTTATAGAAAAAAGGATGAAAATGAAATATATCTAAACTGAATTTCAAATTCAACTTCGTTTCAATGAACAAAAACTTTAAGTCTTAATTTGTTGTTGCATAGATTTGTTTCTTACACATTTAAATTAATGATAAATTTATAATTGTAAAGCAAATTATAAATTATATAAAAATTTTAAAAAAGAATGTATAAGAGTATATATATAAACAAGAAGGCATGACTACATGCTATAAACTTAAAAATCGTTTAAAATTTTGTGGTAATGGGTTGAATATCGGCGTCATTTATAATATCTTAAGTAAGGATAAGCATATTGAGTTTCAAAGATAAACGATATTTAAATAGGGCTATTCAAACAATTTGGGAAAATACAAACGAGGAAAAATCGTGTTAACCAAATCCGTTTTAACGTTAATTTTGAAACGTTTTATCTTATCTGAAGTAATAGAAAGATGAAATTTTTATTTTAAAGGTAAGTTAAAATGTCATTTAGTTTAAATTTACTTATTTATATAACAAGAACTAAATATTTGTTAAGTCTTTATGTGAAATAGTTAATGCAATTACTATTATTGGAATCCAATGATAAAGTTAATTTAAGACAAAACTTAATTTTGATGTTCCGTTTTTGGCACAATCGCTATCTTTATTTGGTCCGTATATTGTGATTGAGTTTACGAATAGTTTGTTTACAGACTACATTTCGGAATACTCGTTGTTCTCCCAATCAAGGCGACGCGGCGTGGAGATACAAATCTAATGATAAAACTTCCCCACTCACTATTACGATACTATTTCTGAATATTCAATAAAAACATAGAAAAAATCTTCTCATTATGTATATCCTTTAACATAAAAGGTTTATCTAGAGATAAGTTTTTAAATGTCATATTACATTTCAGCTGCCACAGTAATCTTAGCAAATGAGTTTAGTTTTAATCCGTCTTAGAACTCATCATCATGAGAATAATGTTCTAACGTCGTCTTCCTCACAGCGTTGAAGCTTGAGATCTCTTGACGGAGATAATCTCGACGAAACCAACTAAAGTACAAAGAAACTGTGACACGTATAAGTGAATGTTATGTTAAATATATCTTTAAAATTATTATATAAGCTCTTTATTTCATTCCTTGATATATATTTTGTAAATTAAAGTGGAACTTCATGTACAATATTAATTTAAAAGTATGAGTATATATGCGTAAAGCTGATGTCTAAAACATTTAGCATTATGATTGAAGGACCTTATTTCAAAGCCATATATATGCTAATTAGAATACTAATTATATATAAATAAATATAGTGAATACAGTGAACTATTTATTTATTTCAAATGTAAATCTTTAAATCAAATACAAAAAGTATAATTTTATTACAAAATATATATGTAGATACAATATTTTTTTGTATTCTCAATATATGAGTAGGTACACCATGTATGAAAATTATGAAATCAATAACTATATTATGAAAACGTAACTATCTGTTATAGAAATATTTAACAGTAGGGGTTTGAAATATTTGGTCTTTAGTATTACTCAATAAATATTTAATTGATTTATATCTTCATCTACAAATATTTATATTTATATTCATTAATTTATCAAAGGCAAATGCTGAATCCGCTTCCTAAATCATTAGTCAAATTTTTTATGAAATATAAAAGGGACGAAATTTTAAGTTCAATAAAGAAGTTTTCTAAAGACTTACTAACATTATGAAAGGGTCTTGTCAACCTAACGGTTTATTCCGCTTGAAAGCTGAACGAACGCCCAATTAGGTTGAAAGACACTTCGACCCGTGCCTTTGTTAAAATATTGGAATCCTATCTTCAACAGACTTTCCATTGAAAATATTCATATTATAATTATTATCCAAGAACGTTGGCACACTAGCAGAGCTAAATCCCTCTTAGTTATGTTACACAACGCGGTTCTTTTTTCTAACATAAAGTTTTATGCAACTAAATCAGAAAGGTGAATTATGTTCTTTGTTTTCAGCGCTTTGATATTTTTGAATTAAATATTTTGCAAACTCATTGTAACTGTAAGAAAGTTTAAAATTATTTAATTTTATCAACCACTCAAGAATAAAAAAAAATATTACATTTCGTTTCAAAGTCCGTTTTATGTTTAATTTTGTAGTTATATTTAACTATAATATTAAACTCCATGTCAGCAAGTTTTAGTTACATACCACACATAATAATATATAATAATATTATCAACCCACATTCGATAAGGCACTATAACTCTTTATCTTGACTGTACTTGTACAATCCACGTAAATAAATATGTACATATATAAAAGAGAAGATGAATTTCGAAAATATGTTTTTAGTATGAGATTATAATAATTTCTTTGTAAATTTTATGGCTTAACTAACAACATACTGAATGAATATGGAAATATAAACATATCGAAGTCAATAAATATCACCCATATCGAAGAATTCTTCGGAACACTTACTTTATTTGATTCACTTCTATTGTTTCTTATTGTTCCTTTCAAATACTTTTCCATTATGCATAATAACAATAGACTGATACCAAGTAAAATGTATTGTAAGTTATTGGAATCTGTTTTTCTTTATTTAGACATTAAATTTTAAGTATTCAAAATAAACAGTCAAATATGAAGTTTGCTGTGATTATTATTTTTGCATCTAAGTTTTTTCAAGGTGAGTAAGAAAATATGAATATAATTTAATCAAATTTTCACCCAGAGTCTCTGTTTTTATTCTTTGTTCTATATTCTGTAACCCTTTTATACAATTTTTTTATAAATACCTAAATATCCTCTAGGGACACCTCAATTGGTTCGTGATCCCGCTGTACTTCACCAATTACATGAGATAAAAAATGATGAACCGTATAAGATCCAATCCATAAAAGGTACTCTTTATGATGAAAAACACTTGTTATTAAATCCCAAGGTATCTAACGACACAAAAAATAGCAGAGATGGTGATGTTGCATCAGAGATAAATTATCCTAAACACAGAATAAAATATAAAACTCAAAAGAGTCAAATAAAAGATGAACCAACAATACGTTTAGATACTGAAAATGCAATTATAAACGTCGAAAGAAATGATAATGTAGAAATACATAGACAATTAATAGAATTTGATTCCATGAACATACAAACCCCTAACAAGTCTCTGAATCTGATAAATTCATTTAATGAAAATAACGAGGATGAAACATATAACGATGTTTTAAATTACGTTGATGATACAGACGGTGATGATATCGATTATACCAATATAGCCCTTGATGGACATAGCGATGAGGATTTCAACCAAACCCAAAATACACGACGACTGATAGCCGATACTCACAACCTGCTACCAGTTATATACGATACGGAAAATATCCCACATACTTATCGTGCCTTAGAAAATATTGAAGAAGAAAATACATATAAACCTGATGATAACATATTAAAGAAAAATGAAAAATTCGATTCGGAAGCATCCTCGAAAGAATTAGAAAAAAAATGTGCTGAAATTGAAGAAAATGAAAAGTCAGAGAGGACTTCGGATCAAGAGGAAAAAAGTGATTCTTTTTATAAAAATTTAAAAAAGAATTCACCAACTGAGGGAAGTGGTGTTTCTAAAATGGAGAAGTCACGTTTCACGCTCTTAGGACACCCACGGGTATGTTTCGCCTGCAACAGCATTAAAGATGAAACTTGTTGGTCTCCAAATAGAAAAACTCCAGTTAAATATTGTCGCCGCGAACATAATTCCTGCATGACAAAAGTTTTCACCCATAAAGGTAAACTATATTAAAATGAACTATTGACCATAACGACCTGTCTAGTTTCGTTTTGCAAAGTTAAACTCGAAGTTTTAAAGTTCGTTCGATAAAACGTTGCATAAATGACATTTTGTCGATACTAAAATATGAACAAACAACCAAATTTTGAGTTAGTACCATTTAGAAATACGTACACATATTCCACTCAATATTAAATAACAAAGCAATATTGAAATCTCTCCTAACTTTGCTTTATTGTTACTTATATGACAGTGTATAATATACTCGTATTTAGTAACCGAAAAGTCCTCATATTTATCAATATTTCAGATTTTTTTATTATCAACGTTTCTTTAGAACCTTAGCTGTATAGTTAGAAACTTTGTTTTAGCAGTGGTTTTGCTTAATTATTTGAAGTTTATTACTTATTGAAAATACATAGCTCATAAGCTACTGTTACATCGTTGCCCCTAATAATCAAATCTTGATCTTAATCTTTACGGTTATGTTTTGTGTATTTTCCAACTAACTAATAATACATAATATTTAAATTTTTACAATACATGTATGTATATATTAGTAAAACTAATATATAAAATATATTCTTTCTCATCAACAGGTAAACCATACATATTACGGGATTGCACTAAACAGTGTTTTTCAAAAGCTGACGCTGAAGTTGGTGTAGCATATGCTTCGTGCACTATTTGTGAAAATGATTTATGTAACAGCGCTCAAAATGCTACAATTCATTATATTGTTCTTTTTATATTTGTTATAATCAATTTAATAATTTGTTTGTATAAATCGATATAATGCCTATTTCCATTTTTAGAAAATGACATCGAAATACACTTATGTACATAGAATTTGCTTGGTTGTAGAGGATAGAATAAAAAAATATATCATGGTATATTGTTTCATTTGAACATATTTGAACATTGCTAATTATGATTACTTATCATAAGTGTAGTGGTTAAATGACAATACCATTGACATCCACGCAAAATCTCAAACAAAATATCAGAGATTTATTATACCTTTGAACCTATATAAACTTTACGTGCTAAGCCTCTGAGCCATTTTGAGATAGAATCGATTCAATCAAACCTCTTGACGTAGTTTGATTCCCATCTCTCCTATTTCCTATTGAGAATTGCTTTACATGCATGTACATAAGCATACTATAATATTTTTTTCAAACGTATATTTTTTACAAAAAATGTATTAAAATTACTGACGATGAATTATGAGATAGATTTCTTTGAAATTGATGAAGTCAATGTTGGTTTGTGCCACTTGTTTTGTGAATAATTCATTTCGTAAATAAAATAAAACTTGTCCAGCCTGATAATAGAATTATATATTCTATACGTGTAACCATTAGTCGTCCTATTAAGACAAAACGAGGGAGCAGCCCCTATCTTGAGTTATGATGACAGTACATTAGCCATGCCTTTGTTTCATATTCTGACAAATTACTCCTATGATGTTCAAATGAAATCAACTTAATAATTTGTTCTAATTTAGATCGTTTTGTTTATAGTAACTAATTTAAATTGGTTGGAATATTCTTTAGAACTAATCTTGTGTTGATTTTTTTGTTTTCTTGCTCGATAGTAAATTATAAAATAAGTACAGGTACAATGATACTTTGTAAGTTTATTATTCCATATTTGTTTTTGACCATTTTTTAGTTTATAGATTCTTTTTTAAATTAAATCCTAATTCTAAAACAGAATGTTATTGTATAGTTACCCTGAAAATCAGTTAAACTCCGTTTCAAGATTACACAACAACATGATAATAATTAAATAAGAAAACACAAACAAGTACACAAAAATGTCAAAAAGTTGTATTTGTTGCTTTATTGCAGAAAGCAATATTTTTCAATACATTACATTCATCTTTCAATTAATCTATTACATTTTGAAAAGTGGGATATTAATTTATTAAATATTTTGATATCGAAATTACGAGTTGAAAAGCATTTTGAAATATGAGCAATTTATTTTAATTTAAAATGTAACATAAAATTTTCTAATGTAATTTTCACGCTACAATACTTACCTACTATAGTGTAGAGTGTTTGAATTTTCGAGTATTGCTTTTGTTCGAAAATACACATGAAAACCTTTCATTCATAAATTCGGTGTTAAAACGAGCACTCTTCTCTAACACTAAATATTACAAACTGGAAAATATTTATTCGCTTGAATTTCCCATTTTCGTTATATTTTTATAATTCCTTTTTCTATTTTTGTTCTACTATTTTATTTCCAAAGGATATTTAAATAAATATCAATTATATATTTTGAACGTTCATGCAATATAAATTAATAACATCGAAACAGGATATATTAAATAAATTAATAAACTTATTTCAGTCACTAGGTCATAACTTTATTATTATAACTAAATGACAAAAAAAAAACATTTTTTATCATATATTTACTACGAAAATACAAATAAAATACGAAAAGATATTCTCACTAGGTATACAAGCCAAGTTATTACTTTAACATCCTGACTAAACTTCCTTTCCCAGCTACAACAAAGAATTTCCGAGGCACTGAGAAGCCGCAAAGTATTCATTGTGCCTTATCAGCCACTTGGCGATATTAAAGAGTCTACCTTACAATTTGTTCACAGTGAAACATTATCTTTTATAAAACAAATATATATAAAGAAAATATATTTTTCTTCTCAAAGAAAATTATTGTGTTTCACGTCTAATAATTTGAAGAGATTCAGATTCCTGGAACATCTCGATATTTCTTAAAGGGAGGGAAAGAAAATAGTAAACAATTACATATTTTGTTTAAAAAATTTAATACATTGTTTGAAAGATAACAATTACAATTTGTTTTTTTTTTCAGTAGCTTTATTTTTTATGAAAGATTTTATCGATGTTTAAATGAGAAATAAGAGCATTAAAACCTTATATATGTACATATAACGATCACGTTATTTCTATACGTCAGTTGCTAATAAACAAACATCTTTCGCTTCGTAGTTCATTTTGAGAATGTAACAAATCACTTCCAGGACCCTATACAACGCTCCCAAATTCTTACTTGGTCCCTTACCTCCCGTTAGGCCTGCAGCGCCCACAAGGAGGCGTTATCGCCACTTTGGTAAAGGACGATCTAGAATAATGTTATATATTACCGTTACAAAATGTCTTCTCAACTGAATGTGTTACAACAAATAACTCATACGTCAAGACAACGGATATGTTTGTAAGCGTAATTGCTTAAATCCTTTTCGTAAAAACCCGAAACGTATTTCAGCAAGTAATATTGCTCTCATATGTATTAACTTTAAAGTAAGTGAAAATTTCGATAGTGATATGTTTTCATACCAAATTAACGATTTATATTATATTTACGTGATAGTGTCTCTTTAAATTACTTCAATATGACCAACCTAAAAGATCCTAGATTTGGTATAATTTAATTCAGTATATATGTAGCTTTTGGTTCTTAAGCTATATGAAATAAAATGATTTATATTGCATTTGCTGTATATTTAAAAACACTGGGAGCTACAGTACCCCTTTGACATTAGGTATGTTAGGTCTTACGTTGTTGTTATTGCAGATGAGTTAGTCAAACAATATTTGACTAACTTTTAACAGTATAAGGTAGGACTTAGCTAGAATATATTTGCAATAATTGAAGCCACGCCATTGACGTTTCGTTGACTGTCTTACTGGTAACTTATAATACTATTAGTTCCGTCCACCAAAGAATCACTTAAAAATTTAACTTTTTCTTTGAGATTTTGGCATATTTTATATTTTAATGAGCAAAACCCAAAATTTAAGAAATTGCTTTATCCCAACAGCATCGTCTCCACAATATTCCCTTGAGGAACTCAAAAAACTTAAGAAATCTTTTTGGATTTTAAATATCTCACTATATAATGATAATTTTGATACAAAAAATGAAACTTAGTTAAAAATAATGATTAATGAAATTATAGTTCACATCACTTACTAATAAATATAGATTATGTTATTTGCAAACAATTTCCAGCACAAAAAGCAATTCATTAACAACAGCTGATATTTATTTAATAGTAACCAAGTTTTAAAGTGGCTTTTAAATTAATATGTTTTATACAATTATTTTAAATAGCAACCATTATTATGGGTTAATAGTTAATTTGGTATAAAAAAATGTTTGGCGTCATCAAAATAAAAAAATATTTCATATTTTCATCATAGTCGCATAAAAAACCCCAATAAAAATATGTCACAAAATGTTTCTTTATGTATAATTAACTGTGAACAGTTTTAAAAATTTTACAGGAATAGACATTCTATTATATTTTAGATACATAATATGTCTTCGTCGCCAATACAGAAGCAATCTGCTTTTCTAGCAAGTATTGTTTCAGGATGAATTAAAGAAGCAGTACTTACGAATTGTATCTGTTAAACCATTCCACGTGCGTGCAACATACAAGGAAAATGAAATAGCTATACACCTCGAACCCCAAAAAAAAAATCGTCGTAAAGTGAATTTGAATGCAAATACAATATATAAAAAATAAATTGTCAATATGACCATGATTAGATCAGGCAATTTCCGGAATAAAATTCAAATTTAGCATCTGTGATAGCCTACTAACAATTTCTGCTATAATGCACTGTTAGAAAACATTAGCAGTAGGTATAATTAAGTGCAAAACTGTACTTAAATATCATTAGTCACTACATTTAGACATCATTATATTATAACGTTTATACAATTTAGTATCTACTGTATGGAAAAAAAGGTTTTTTTATTATTAAAGACATCCCTTTATAATATAATGACATAAGTTTAGAAACTCTATTTAATTAACATTTTTTTTCGCTGATTTTATAGATTTAAGATATAATGAATTTAAACAATTTCTTACAAAACCCTTAAACTCCTATTTATTTAAGAAAAGAACACATGGGAAATCAGCAATATCTTTCCGTTTCAAATTGCGGTGTTCGTAAGTGGGTTCCCCCAAAGGAATTGCATAGTAGGCAATCACGTACCAACTTTGCATGGATATTACGTAATCAATGATGTAAATTTATAATCATTATCGTAAGGTATGTAAACCTGCAGGCATATAAATATTTATCACATATTATATAGCACGAAAAGCAATATCAAACTATCTTTTTTTTATGAGGTCTGACCTATTAGGAAAATTTCACACATAAAAATATGATTGTTTAGGTCATGATAAAAACTTAAGTCAAGTTTATAAAAAATATGTAGAAGTAGAAAAAATATAAAAAAAATATATTAAACTAGGTACTATTTCACAAAATTATTGTTAGAGTACCATTACTTTTCTATTGATAAAAGCTCCATCTAGTAGTGGAACTATACAACATTTTAAACTCTGTCGTCAGTAACGACATAAAACTTAGTCAAGGCACTGATAGATGACAGTACTCACAAATATTAGTTAAATAACATTACATAAATAATTCCATCATTCTGCGTATATAAAATATAAATACTCGTAATAACCTTACTAATATAGTACTTATTTTACACCTATTTAATGTTCCTATCAGTCATAATTATACTAGGTATATAAATCGAAGTTTTACTTTACAAAGGGTTTTATGAGATATAAAATGAAATAAAATACAATAGCAACATAGAATTGGTCTAGACCTGTGCGATTTGACTATTTTATAAAAGATTAAATCTATATGGGTGATTTTAAAAAGGTATTCAACCTTTTTATTTTAGAAGGTCTTTTGTTTTTGTTTTGAAGGTCTATTGTATTTTAGCAGGTCTTTTACAACCGACAATGTTGCCAGTTTGAAAATAGGATAGTTAATTTATTTTCATATATTTTGTTTAACTAACCTGAATTTAGTCTTAAAATAATGCAAAAATATTTTTTTACAAAAATTTATTTATCTTATATAACTGTAAAAAACGTTTTGTACATGTTGATTGATTTTTAAAGATATAATTTTATATTGAAAATGGTTAATTTTTTTATATATATATATATATATATTTTCTAATCATTATCTCAAAATTCATTAATTATTTTCGGCTTGAGGTCACCATCGACAATTTAATATATACGTACTTAGCTTTATGTAAGTACTTTGTTCGTGAGTAATATGCTCGTGCCGTGACGTTAGATCGGGATCAGTCGTGTGATACAATCGTTAGGAGACATACGAACGCTTAACGCCAAAATTAATTGCTTTAAAAAAGCGCAGTAAAACCTTCATTTGGAGATTACTAGTTATATAAATAAATCTGTAAGTATTAAATTTATTATAATTTAAATTCTTATTGCTCTTACTTTTCTTTCATAAGATTGCCTCATGCGGGAGACTCCCAATTCTATTTCCTTTATCCCTTTTTTTATGATTTGTTAGCGATAATTCAAAATCACATATTTTTTACCAGCAGATGCTTTGCTAATATTTATTTTATTAAATTTTTCTAATGAATATTCCACAAAATTCCACATGCTTACGTAATGGTGTCATTATCACAAAGCTTGGCAGTCCCTTCATGACATTGATCCATTTGCAGTGACCTAATTCCGAAACGTAGTTCATGGTTGTATAATTATTTGTTTTAGATTATTTTACAAACCACGTTCAGCCACATCAGCCACACACCATGATTACGATTTAAAAATTCGCGATTCCCGCTCATTAAGATAACCTCTAATATTATATAATCCTGTTCAATCGTGTACACTCCTCTGAAAATATTAATTTTATTTTGCAGAAATAATGGGTGTTCCTGCTGGTAATGCGGAAAACGGCAAAAAGATCTTTGTTCAAAGATGTGCTCAATGTCACACCGTAAGTAATTTTTTTAATTGCCGTAACATTTACTTTTATTTCATGTTTTAGTATTTCTTATTAAATTAATCTAAAAAACATTTTGTTTCTATTACTCTATTTCCTTATTTCTCTATATCCTTACATTGTCGTTAACCTTAACTTTGAGCAATGATTTAACCTTTATCCTATCCATAATTCTTGTAGTAGAATATGATTATCTCTCATTATAAGGATTGGCCTTGATCTTCAGTCAGACAAGGACAACTTAAAATCACGGCCTAATGTTCTGATTTTAAGATTGAGTAATCAGTATTAATTTTTATAATGGTCACATTTTTCTCATAATTATTTAATTTATTCTACTAATTTTAATAACTATATTTATTTTTATAACATGGGAACAGTAAAATTTAGTATCAATTCGATAAACTGTCAAGGTCGTTTAATCTTATTTATGTAATTATTTGAACAGGTTGAGGCTGGCGGCAAGCACAAAGTAGGACCTAACCTACACGGTTTCTATGGTCGCAAAACTGGTCAAGCTGCCGGATTTAACTATTCAGAAGCCAACAAAGCTAAAGGTAATTCGAACAGTACTCACGACCTTGAACAAGTTATGACATAAGCAATAAATCAAAGCAAACATTTTAACTGCATATAATCTTTCCACTTCTAAGACTTTTATACATTGTTTTTAAATAGGTAAATTTATTAAGAAGGTTTTACACTCTTGTCTTCTATTTCATTATATTTAATAAAAGTACTTAAATGATATCGCATATTAGAATTGATATGACAACAAAGGCCAAAGATAAATCTAATTAATTGATAATGAAGGCTGGATAACAGTATCACATCTGAATGGTGTGGTCAAAGTTGAAATTTCTTATATTCTTGATAATTTCATCATTACTTTTCCATAGGTATCACTTGGGGCGATGACACACTCTTCGAGTACTTGGAGAACCCTAAGAAATACATCCCCGGAACCAAGATGGTGTTCGCTGGCCTCAAGAAAGCGAATGAACGTGCAGATCTAATTGCCTACCTTAAAGAAGCTACTAAGTAATTTAAATGACATTAGGAAAACAAAAACATTAAGAAGAGTAATCCATTATATGGATAGCACTTCTTAGTTACTAGCCCAATCAGTATAATCATTATTTAATGTATTTATTTAGAGTTAACATTTCCTATTCATAGAAAGTTACTCTTCCTTGCATCATTTTGTAGTTGCAAAAGTGTGATTTGTATGTACATGTTATAATGTATGACAACAATTAATTGCTGACCATAACAATGTTGTGAGTGAATTTTAATGTTATTAAATTAATAATAGACAATATCATTATTTTCATTTGTAATTCTACCCAAAAATATCTATCCTACTTGTCAAACTGTTTGTAAAGTTACCATTTATTTTTTTGTTTAAATAAATTATGTTTTGTTTTATACATTTATTTCCCTTCAAATTATTTTTGTATGCAATTGATTGTTTTGTTTTTATAACAATACATATATATTAATGGTCATTATAAAATAGTAATTGTAATTGTTCAGTTAAATAAGGAAAAAGTAATCATTTAAACTTAGAAAAAATAAATTCAAACTAATTGCTGAACAAAGTTTATTAATTGAATTGGAGCAAAGCAAAGGAAAGTTTTGAGATATTCATGTAGGTGGTTAACATGAAATTCATAACATTTTGCAAAAATCGTAACAACTGAAAAAAAAATTAATCGTATATCTGGACCTAGGAGCCCGTACACCGTAACTTCTTTAATTGAAAAGATCGGTTTGTTAGAACTCTGGCAGTAATTGAGTTCGTTCGCTGAATGAATATATCGAAAACTGGTCTTCCTTATTAATACAACTTTTTATCTTGAGCGTGGATACAATGAGAAATAAATGATGAAACTATATGCAATGAGGAAATGGCAATCACCTCGCTCAGGGTTGACGTTAAGATTTCTTATCTCTCTACGTCACACACCTTATGTAAGGATGAACAAAACCGTTTATATTTTGCCAGAAGGAGAAAATGGTAACGAAATGGAATATTCGAATATGAAATATATTAACAGTTTGTAAGTTGTAATGTTGATTTATAGATATTATTTGAAAAATAAATGTAAAGCTATACTTTTCTGTAAGGAGATATTTACAACGAAATAGAAATAAACTATGAACAAATTACAGCAATATTTAAATATCTCTAAAATATACTGTTACATATTATAAAAAATAAATTCAATTATTTATTGAATAATTTTACTGTTAGTTACTTATATAATTTAAGAGGTAAGTTTTCAAACTGATGCCTGCTTATATTGACATTGACAATTGACAAATAATTAATGTTATGAAATTGATGGGAGTATTGTCAAAATTGTGGACCGAGAATAACGAGCATATAAAATACTTTTGTATTAAATTATGCAGAATAATTTGAGAATCACTCTGGACTTATTTAATTCTCAAGAATATACTAAACAGTATTTATGAAAGAACTTTTCTGTTATAGACAATTGTAAACTGGATATAATTAATACATGTGTCGTGCTAGTGAATTTGATAAAAAATTTAAAGTTGCCTGTTGATCTATATTTTACTACGATTTGGTAAGTTTATTACTTTAGCCTAGCGTTTTTTTATATAATTTTGCATTCTGTGTAGTACATTTATTTTTGTTAAAGGCAGATAAAAGGACATAGTATCGTTGTCAAGCAATTGCAATTGTGGTTTCTTGAAGATCTAAGGATTAAAAAAATGGCGAAGTCATCATCAGTGGTTTTAAGTTTTCATGAAATATTGCTACATCAATCTGATGTTGAACTACTTAATGGACCCTTTTGGTTAAATGACAATATTATTTCATTTTACTTTGAATATCTTGAAAAAGTTATGTTTGCCAACAATAAAGACCTTTTATTTGTGTCGCCAGAGGTAACACAATGCATAAAAATGGTTCAAGCCAGTGATATAAAACTTTTTCTGGAGCCTCTAGGTGTAGATAAAAAAAAGTTTGTTTTCTTTGCTCTTAATGATAATAATTCACCGGACATGGCAGGAGGTTCTCATTGGAGCCTGCTTGTGTATTCTAAGAGTGATAGTTGCTTTTTTCATGTTGACTCATTATCTGGAAGCAATCATAATGTTGCATGGGATTTCTCCAGTCACCTTATGTCATATTTGTCTAAAGGAGGTAAGATTTATCAAATATTTTTATTTCACATAATTAAAGATATCTAAATATAAAATTACTTAAAGTTGTCTTGTACTACTTAAATATAAAGCTTAACATTTTTCAGGTTCTATTAACTTTGTGGATAAAGAATGTGTACAGCAGAGCAATGGATATGATTGTGGTGTCCATGTTATATGCAACACTGAAAGACTCGCCCAGTATTCTCAAACTCATGCCGAGCTGAACTCATGTAATATGTTAATTAAAATCGATCCCACTGTGAAAAGAAAAGAAATTCAGCATATAATACAAAATTTGTCTAAAAAGTTGTAATTGTTATTGGTATGGAGTCTTTGAGATTTTAATTTCACAAGTTTTGTGGTTTAGTGTATTTCTATTTGGACTTATTTCTTTAAGCAGTGGGGATCTGAAATAATATTGTTTTTTGAAATCAATTGTAATACTGTGCTTTATGAAATTCTATGAAATATATTTTTATTAAATAACATAATTTAGAAAAAAAACCATTTTTAATTTCATCAAACCAACCAGGATATATGTAAGGATTATTTTAAATTGCCTGTAATATAATGTATTCAAATGAAATATGTTGCTAAATTGTTAGTTTCAAATTTGGTCTGGTTCACATGGCTTTTACAGAAGATAACTCTGACCTAATTACATTAAAGACAGTTTATAATTGAGTTAGTTGGACAGACAAAAACAACACAGAATCCAGTCCAAATTCATAATTTACATTTATTTTGCAATTGTAAAAAAAATATTCATCATATTTACATACACTTCAAATATAAAAATAAAAATTGTGAATATAATATAATAAAAATGTTCTGTAAAATAAATTGATCATGATTATTTCTTGTTACTTTGGTTCTATCCATCCACCGAATGCTTTTTCAAGTTCTTCTGCCACCGCCAAGCAGAGTCTATCATTATTATGATTAGCAATAACTTGTATTCCAATGGGAAGTCCATCTCTACTTAAGCCTAAAGGAACTGTTGTTGCTGGAAGGCCAAGACTGTTGATTATAGCTGTATATATAAAATTCATTGGTTTAACCAAAGGCTGGTTGTGATAAGGGGCTGGTGTTGGATGTGTTGGGTACAGAAATACTCCATCTTCACCAAGCATATTTTTAAAAATATCTTCTAATTCTTGACGAGCTTTCAAATAATACTGGTATCGCTTACACTCCGGATTTAAGACATCACGATCTACTAGAGATGTAAACAACGCAATGAGAGTGTTTCCTGAAAGCCCTACAAGGTTTTTGAAAATCTCTTTGAATACAGCAAATATACTATAATCTTCTATGATGTATTTTCCGAAAGGATATTTTCCTTTCATAGTTTCCATCCAGATTGGAATGGAATGTTGAAGCCATTCAATTTTCTTTTCTTCAGCGACTATATTATGTTTCTTGTTAAAGAACTCAACGACTTTTTCTAGTGCTGTCACTATGTCTTTATCAACTTTGTCCGTTAATGGTGCACCATTGTTGATTTGATAGAAAATCTTCAAGTTCTTCAGATTAACGGGTTTATCTAAATTAAGCTTTGCACTGTTTTCGCCCGATATAATTTTAAGAATCGGCTTTAAGTCTGCAGCGAATCTCGTCATAGGTCCAATGCCTGTAATTTAGAGAAGAATCCTCTTTAATGTTACAATTTATAAAAAAAATAATGATAAAAATTAAGTAATTTGCTCAGAAGTAATTTATGAAGAATTTTCTTTCTATGAATACAGAAATAAATATATTGAAACATACATAAAAATGATTTGTGTAGCTCCGTGGGTTCATCAGGATATTGTCCAACGTTGGAAACTATCAGCCTTGACGGTTTGTGACCAAATATCCCGTTAAAGTAAGCAGGCATTCGAATAGATCCTCCTATGTCAGAACCTTTAAGCAGAAACAGAAAATTTATTAAAAGACCTATAATCATGGAACGTAAGATATAATGATAATATTCTATACTTCCTACGCTGAAGCTAATCATTTCCAGTATGTGAGGGTGGGAGGTTATTGACTTATTGAAAAGAGAAATAAATCTTCGGATAACCATTTGATACCCGTCTTATTAATACAATGGGTAAAATGTCATATTACAATTTTAGAACAAAACATGTATTAATTCACATTTCGAAATAATAAAAATCCTAATAATATTAACTGTTAACTGTACCGGAGAGTTTAAAAATATTTCTGTAATTTTTTTAAAGTCAAAATGAAAACGACGTACTGTACTTTTACTATATAAAATATGTATACTAAACGGTTAAGGTCATAAATAAAATATTTTGGTATTAAAAAAACTTTACTATCCAATATTTAAAAAAGAAGAAAAATACTAAATATTTTTTTGATATATTTCACTTGTAAATTACATCCTGGACTGAACATTTGAATTATTATAGAATATCTCATCTCGATGTGTTTACCTCGTTCTTCTTGCCGCCCACATATGTAGCTTAGCAGATAACTAGCATAGCGCAAAGACTAAATGTTTCCCTAGCTATATGAAGAAGGGGAGTCTTTTTTATATTATTTATGTTACATCTATGTATAATAAAGATTGTTACCAATCCCAAAGCAGCTTCCTCCCAGAGCTTGAATGCATCCTTCGCCACCGGATGAACCTCCCACTATTCTTGTGGTATCATAGGGATTGCTCGTTCTTCCGTATATATGGTTGTGGGTCTCCCACCTGGTGATTATAAACTTGTAAAAATAACAAATGCTGACACAACTCCTGAAAATGAATTATCGTATGTTTGTATTATTCCATTTCATACCACATGCAAAGTTCGGGAACATTTGTAAGACCTATGATTATTGCACCATTTTCTCTTAGAATTCTAATAACATCTGCATCACTTTCGGCTATCTTGTCTCTTCTCAAATCTACTCCGGCGGTGTGATGTAGTCCTAAAAAATATTCGTTGTTGTTTTACCATATTTTTACATTATATTTCCTGTCAAAGTAACTATATATGTGTAAGGCTTATTCATCTTCCGCTTCTTAAAATTTGAAATGTTTCGCTTAATTTTTGAATTGTCTAACAGAGTTTTTACCGATAATATTGCCTTTAGTACACCGTTTTTTTAAATTCGGTCTTTGTTTTATTTTGAGGTATTCAATGAAGAGCATTATTATCATTATTATTTTCAAGGATACTATAGCGAGCAACATAGACAATGGATGATCTTATCTCCTTTAAATATCTCTTTCACTTATCCGTTAATTAAATATACCTAAACTGAAAATGAATTATGTCTTGTCCATGCAAACAAGACAAGGTTACAAGTACTTTGTATATTTGATATAGTTTCAATATTAGAAATTTCTATATTTGTTTTCTACAACACATTTAATATTATCAAGAATGCAAAACATATAAAATGTTATTTTTCTTTTTTTGTAATCTTTAGATGAGTGTTATCGATGTGTGAGAATTAGTTCCGATTCCAGTTGGAAATTATATTATTATAGGATATAAAAACGACAACGTGGCTTGTAAATAGTATTTAAAAAAGAATTTCTTGGTCTCATTTTAATCTTTAAAGAAATTTGGAATAAAAATTGAATTGTTTGTATGGACATAGAATATTACGTGTTTAGGAGGAAAAAAGCTTGGAATAATGTTAATGTCGATTGAAATCATTGCTTTCCCTTTTAAGTAAATAAAATATAATTTTATCTGTTGTGATGATCAAGGGTAAATATAAGAAAATGAATAAATTTTTATTAAAATTGATGATTTATATATATTTTTATTATAATTCATATTTGACTGTATATACGAATTTAGAGAAAAAAATATTTTCAAAGAAAAAATTCTTCTAAAGCGATATTCAAAAATGAAATATGAAGCAAGAATAAACCCGGTATAATATCAAAATATTAAAAGAAAAAAATAACCAAAAAAAGAAGTTTCTTCAAAGATTAATTATTTAATTACCTTTAACAGCTATGCAATCCTTTGTCGTGAAAGGGACGCCCAAAAACGGTTTCTCTTTTTCCAATTGTTGTACAGTCTTTGAACCGCTCTGAACGAGTTTATCAGCTTCTTTTGCTTCTTGTAAAGCTAAGTCATAGCGATTTTCTACAAAACAGTTCACTAAGGAATTAGTGTCACTTATTCTTTGCATGCACGCCTTCAACACTTCCACACTGCTGATCTGTGGAATATAGAAAAGCTACATTTATACTCATAGCTATTTTGCGAAATTATTTAAACCATTTGGTGTTTTTTTTAGGCTATGGCTTCATTCGCACTGAAATATTTTGCCAATGTCAACGTTTTTTTTGTTGGACGAATTATAATTTTGACCTACTTTGTGGAGAAAACACCTTTGATGTTTTTTGTTTAATTTGCACTGGAAACATTTGATAGTTATAAACTCATTTAAATAATTCACAATGATATTTTCTTTAGTAATAAAAAAATATTTGTCACAGTTTTCAAGATTATAATTCGTTCAACAAATAAAAACTTTCACATCGGCAAAATATTCCACGATACCAATCTGAATCAATTCATAGCATAATATTAAAAATCGGTATATATCGGTATCAACAACATCTTTAATAAAACGTTGGGTAATATAATACATTTTTTAAATATTTTTCTGTAATAATTGAATTGAAGAGAGAAATCTTTCAATCTTTCCTTTAAAACGATAGCTGATTTTTCTAATAGAAATGTAATAAAGCTAGGTTTGCGTTCGGATACCTTAGATTTAATATCGCTTGAAGGAAGGAGATCCGATTAAATTTATTATTGAGCTTTTATTTGATGGATTTCACAGAATGCAATAATTTTACCTTTAGTTGTAATACTTTAAAATAGAAAAGTAACAAAATGATTCATACATTTTACGTTTTTAATGAATATGACTTTGACATGTTTATCTGGTTCATTGTAATCAATTAATTAAAAAATGATAAAAAACTTCGTGACTAAACATTGTTTTAACGACCTTGGTTAATACATGCAGTAGTTAATACTAATTTATTTATAACTAACTTATTCACAATGTGTGGGAGTTATTAAGTTATAATAATAATAATTGTTATGCTCTCTTTTTAAAACACATTTGAGTTTTACTTATCTAAATGTTTGTAAATAATTTTAAGTAACAATGAGGTTACGATAAGTTTACATCAATTAAAAAATGTCTTTACAGTGGTTTGGTATATCAGAAGTAAAATATCATATATAAAATGCTTATTAAAAATGTTTTTCTACAAAATAAATAGGTTTAAGATCTGCACGGAAAAATACAGTGCTAGTAAAGCTGCATGCTTGTATACAGATAATTTTAAAATTGTATAGATTTAAAAATATCTATGACTTTTAACACTATTTTTATGAGATTTAAATATAACTCATTTGGTCTATTAACCGGCCTCAAAAGGTATTAATCTAACATAACAGGTTAGGCTAGTACGTGTTTTTATATTATAACTATGTATTTTATTATGAATCAGACACGTTTACTTTGATATAGTACTTTATTTTCCTAGTTTTATGTGAAACAATAATAAATGAATAGCGTACAAGGTTAAGGTTATAGCCTTAATTATGTTAAAACTAATTATTATTAAAAAATATATTAGTTTAATAATTATAATAAAGATATTTTTCAATGAAACTGGAATGATATTTATTATGAATTTTAATTTACGAGAACTTGTTTGAATTTTGTGTTACAACGTAGTGAAGGAATCCTCTACCTACGCGTACGTGAAATGACGAACTAGTCACAAATTAATATCACTTAGATACACCTAACCACAATTTATCTTCTGATACAACAAGGAAGTTCTTATCAACTATTATTCGTTATGTTTAGTGTTCACTGAAACTGTGTCAAATATTTAATCTTCTTTAAAAATATTTTTGAATATCTCACCTCTTTATTTCTTATTCTTCTGGCCACCTCCACAGCCGGTTGTTTTAAAATATCATCCTTTATTGGAGGTAACTTCTTTGTATTTGTGCCGTAATACAATTTAAAAAAGACACTGGTTATAACATCCAACAGCATTCTTAGAGTACTCAGCACTCGTAACGTGAAAGGTATAGGTCGCGAAACAATTTCCTTTTCCATGATTTCGATATACCTTGTCGGCCGGACGGTGGAGCAAAAGTGTTTATGTGTAGTTATTTAAAAATACACTTTATTACGTAATCGGACACAACCGTCTCGAACGGCTGATTGTAAACTCTAATATGAACACAATGCGGTGTAGGGTTTTTTCATAGCCATTTGGAGCAGTTATCGCTGTCTCACTCGAACACATCAATGTATAGTCGTCACTGACTTACACTACACTGACATGAGACATCTATTCACGATACTTGTACGGATAGTGCCTCTTATTTCAAGACGTTGCTGTCTTAGTATCTTTAAACCCTCTTCATCGCCGGACTACTTGAAACTGTTCGATTTTTTTTATATGAAGAGTTCAAATGAAATATTCACTGGAATCATATCTTAAATTTGAACAGCAATTGATTTATCTCCTCAGATTTAAAGCTACGTTAATTTTATTGCAAACTTTTACTTTGTAATGAATTTAATAGACGAAATTGGTAACTGTTTATGTGTTATTGATTATTTACTATATTTTTGTGACAGCCAAAGAGTCATTTGTTGTTGACAGACAGTTTAATATTCCTTTAAAATAGAAATAAAGCTGATAAACCTTTTTGACAGACCAACAAAAACTGTTCATATAGCTATTATAAAAAAAAAAGATTTTTATTAATTTTATTCTAGAATAGCATGTTGATTATGAATTCATATTGAGGCTCGCAGTGTTTTGTTCATGATATATTTTTATATATACTAACTATAGAAAAGTCATATATGTATATATATAAAGATTAACTACATAAAAAGGGGATTGGTTTAAAAATTTCTATCTGTAAAATATAAGCTTTCTTTTGATTTTAGTATGATGCCCTTTTCCTAAATCATAAATATATAATGACATGCGATTTGTCTTTTCTTCTGGTTTTAATAAGTACGTATTTAAATATAAACGACGCTCCTAATTACGCAACACCAGATTCTTCATAATAGGCACCTGGAAAAAGGTTTCTTCATTGATTTTATACAAATTATTAATGTTAATGTTCTCAAATACATACATATTAGCGGGAAATATAGATTTTTTTTTAATTGGCATAGGCTTTTAAAGATCAAAATGTGTAATTAATTATTCTTTTTCAGATCGAGATGTCTGATACGCTTCAGGACGGGGAGTCTTCAACACGAAGTAATTCACTTAAGATATCCTTACCCACTGTGCTTTACACGGACACTGCTGATACTGAAACACCTCAAACCAACTTCAATGAATCAAAGCACTCTCTACCATCTAGTTTCGGAGCATCAACGTTACTCCTATCATCTCCCGTGTCCCTGCCCACGTCACCGACACCATTCACTAAAACTCCTCTCCAAAGCCGATCTAACAGATCTCTTGATGAACCAACCGATTCTAAGCACCAACAAAATACCCAGAGCAAACCTATCATCAATACGGGATCTTCTACTGGTAAGTTATTTTTTCACAATGAAAATATTGGAAAAATGCTTCTAGTTTAAATGATAACCACTTTTCTATTTCCATTAATAACCATTGAAACAAAAGATGTTCTGAAGAAAAATTAAATTTTACGTATACATAATACTTTTTCTCGGTCTATATCTAAGGGACATAAAATCCAAAAGGTTATTTAATTTAATTCAATGAGCTAATTATTTAAGTTAACACTTTTTAAATTCTCAAACAAATTCTATATTATATGACAGAATATTCAAGTTTTGTGTTAACACTAAAGATGTTGCTTTTAATTCAATAAATTGAATTTTAATTAAAACTTTGATTGTTAAGCACCTGTTCGGGAGTAAGGTTGATAATTGAAAATTAATCCGCGTCTGTAGACACAATGGTTTGGTTCTTATCATTATACTTACTATATAAAAAATTGTTTTAACGGAAAAATAACAAAATGTTACAATAACAATTATAAAAGTGGTTATGTAACCATGAACTATTCGTATTTGTATTGAATGTAAAGGATACCGTAAACGTTAAATCCTCCCGCGAATAAGCCGCAGTAGAGGGCAGAACGCGGCCCGAGCCGGGCGTGCCTTCTTTTAACGACAATAATGTCGGCACTAACTCGATTCGGTTTTATTAGATACGTAAAAAGAAGTGGAGTTTTTACGACACAATTCCATTATGGTTCAGTTCTTACGATAATAAAATATGAGGTCAAGTAAATTAATTCGCTCAATTTTCCCGGTTAATTTGGGTCCCATTGTCAAACTTGAAATGCGGTGCTCTCAAAGTCAGGTTCAAGTGCATTGACGGCTTTTGAAAAATTATGTAAACAATGCGTTGTGCAATACTTTAAGTGATGCCGTGCTGTGGATGTTGGTGGAACGGGAGACAAAGACATCGTCCGCCGGAAACAGTTGGAGGTTGACAGCAGTTTTCTATTTGATGTTATTATTTTATTTATCTCGGTTATATAAAAAGTTAACTTGTACATATAAATAAAAATACTATCACCATATTTCACTCAAACACTCTCAATTCTATTTTTAAACTCTTATAAGTAGATATTTATAAAGGTAAATATTTGGGTCTGTTTTGTTTTCGAATAATTGGATTTGCTATATTTGATGGTTCTAAGCTTTGTCAAAGACAATAAAAGTGTGACTTTTATTTATGAATAAGCTATTTAGGTTCGCAATTATAATTTCGTTTTCTCAGTACTACATATATTCTAGCTATTTGTGTATTATGTTATGCTCTTAAAAATAACAGCAATTTAATACTATAATGCGAATAGCAAAGCTTTGAGATAATATTCTGTAAAGTGCAATATAATCTTTTTCTACGTTTTATTATAAGAAATTTAATAAAAAGAAATAATAAGAATATTTCAATACCAAATATCCACATTTGAATAAGAATACTTTGTATTCAAAATTTCATTGCCATTTTAAAATCAATACGATCATTTATTACAATGACTCGTGTATTTTCGTTTCAATGAATTTAAAATATATTACAAATTCTGCATAACAATATTGGATTTTACATCCTACACTTACTATATAACATATATATAACTTTATAATTCCTATAAGACGATAGATTCTTACAAAATACCGTACATTTTTAGTTAATGAGTCCATATATACAACCAAAACAACGTAGATGTATGAATGCGATAGGTACATTGAAAGTGTGCTATTTAATATGAAGATGGAATTGGTTCTAAGACTTCTGCATTCATTTGTACTCTAATCAGTGACATGTTCGTTTACTCAAACCGCTGGAGGAACTAGATTAACAAAATTAATGTTCATTGAACGTTCGGCTTCCCTTATTGGGAAGGTTCCTTATTAAAGTGGATATGACGAAGCCATTATAATGGATGTCGTATTGATTGAATGTTGAATCAGTTCCATTAGTCGGGACTCTATGGCATCACAACTCAATTGTCTTGTGCATATATCTGTGGGAGTGTACACTATGTTTTGCTGTCTGTTCAAACGAAGTTTGTCTAGTGACTCGTCCTCGTCGAATTCTAGTATGTCAAGTAAGTTTTTATTTTACTGACTATAATAATCAATATACTCAAATATACACAGTAACAGAACAGCACAGTACTTTGCCATTAATATTTTTGACACTCAATCAATCCTACTTCATATATGTATGTTAATGTTTGCTCGGTTTCATTTGAAGTTAGTTGATAATATTCATTATATAAATATGTTAGACGGAAAATATTGTTGAAGTTAACTTGGAATATGATATGCAAAAGACCAAATTGATTGCTATTAGAGATGCGCCGAATGTTCAGCCGAATATTCCTATTTGATTAAACATGTATTCGGCGCATATCCACAGCTATGACCTTTACACTTTTCCAATACGTCATGAAAGATTCTTGTACAAATAATATTTTTATGTTATAACACCTTATCGTCTCAATGCTATCTTATCTGTTATCATTCTCAATTTCTTGGGACACAGATATTAAAAAAATATGTTTTTTTATAAAGGTTTAAAGTTTATTTGGCTGGAAATTTTATATATTACTTCTTTTTGTTACCTTCTTTTAATTACGCTTTTATTAAGAGAAAAATAATAAGGCCTTTAACTGAAATACTTACTCTACAGTCATTATGTAAATCTACTGAAAATACAACAATAAAATTTAAGAATAAGCTATTTATTTAGTGTCTTATAGAGTTTAGAATTGTCATCAGTTTCTTTCGTTTAAAAATACGAACTTATTATTCTTCTAATATATTTTTCTTATTATAATAAAAATGTATGTATAAAGGAGTAAAAACCGGATCGACTTAAAGAGATTGTTGTAGGAAATTAATTTAAAGACCGGTTCTACATTTTATTTTTAAAGTAAACATAAAATTTTCATTTTCATTTAAAACAAAGTTTCAACATCAATATGACGCACATCACTAAAAGAGAGTAACGCAAATCAAATTTACTTTTGTTATCATATATAATTAAAATCTATTTTTCTTTAAAAGTAAACATCATGGCAGTTTTTAAGCCTAATTTTTACATATTTATTCAATATTTATATGTAATCATAGATAATGTTGTAAATAGCATCTAGTTCTGGGTTAACACAATAATTAGGTGATGTTTTTATCACGTTAATATATTTATAAATCCATGCTACAAAATATCCATTCCAATTAAACACTAGAAAAAGAAAACTGGGTCATGGTCGAGAATATATTTATTAACACAATACTTTAACAGACTCATTCGACTGCTTTTTTCTTTATGTAGAATTAATTTTCATATAACTTTTTATATTTTAATTAAACTTAAATCTTTTAAGAATGTTGGTGTTTATTATGTTTGAGTTATATAAGACATATATTTTTAATTTAAACTTCTTATTTAATATCACTATAGTAATTGCTAACTGCAGCGTTTCTTTCTGTTAGTTAAATAAAACAACATGTGTATTATTAAATATATGATATTTTGTATATTAAAACAACTATTGTATATTTTAATAATTAATTATATACTATTAATATAAAAGTAAATATCGTTAGATGTTTTCCATAATAGTAATACAATGTGAAAATAATAATAAAAAATAGGAAAAGGAACATAATAGTCCCCAATTGTTATTCAATCCTTAATTGATTCTGTTCGAAGTGCCGGAAAAAATAATACAGATTGTACAAATATAACACTCAAAGTTTCTCTAACATCTTAAATGTAGCTTTTGTTTTACTCTCAAATTACGTCTTTGTTTATTCTCTGTATAAGGGATTACCTAAGATAAGTAAGATTACGATTTGTGATAAATTATCTGTAACGCTTCCTACAATATTTATGAATTTATTATTCAATAAAATCTTGTTAAGATTATATAAAGTGCCTACATTTCGCTATAAATTAATACGTAAGAAATGTCAAAGACGTGATTTGTTACATTAATATATAAAAATCGAAGCGTCGATCGATATATAATATATACACTTATGGTTCGATGTAACAATTTTCCCTCTTTCTTGAGTAGCTATCATGTCTGGTGCGGCTGACTTGAGAGTAACTTAATTTAATGGAAACTCGTCTATTGGACGGGAAATTTATCATTAATAATGTTATCGACAAAACAAACTACATTAGTGTGTGCCTGTAAAGTTATTTCTTACATTTATAGTGTAATATACATTATTTTTCATACATATTTCCTGTTTTGAAAGTCCAATGGAAAGTCAATTGTGACGTAAACAGTGTTATTGCGTCATCAGTCCTTTGAAGCGGATCAAAAGATTTGGTTATTGCCCATTCTATCTTGCTGTTACCTAACGTCCCACAAACACGACTGCCTGAAATAGTACTGTTATTCAAATTAAATTACAGAAGATTTACATTAGGAATTAACTTTAGTAAAACAATACCCTTTTTAAACCAGATGTGATTAATTTCGTGGTTGTTTTTTTAATAATAAGGTAGTTTTTGTTCGACTCATCTGCGTAGACTTCGGATTTGAGCTCAGAGATAATAATATGTGTTTTGAACAAAAAATATGCTAGAGTTACAGTCTATGATAAAATGACTTTACACAAGATACATCTGTCACCAAAAATAAACTAAAATTCCAGTGAAATAATATCCTATATCCTATTTACATATCTTAGCCATATTTATCTTCAGCTTCAGGAAAATTTGTTTATTAGCTTTTCCTTAAAAGATAAACAGAAATCCATACATCCATCTTAAATTTTTTTGCATTTACCATATTATACAGAATTTATGACGCGGAAAATGTAACCGATAAATCAAAGTAAGAAGTAAGTAGTAATATCACCTCTTACTGTACACCTTTTTTATAATACTAGCTACTTAATTAAATTCTATGCAAGTAATATATTTTCTTAAAGAATTTATTCATGGATATTATAGAAGTATATGTTTTTTATTATATTTCGTTTACATTGGACTTAATTGCTATAATCGATTAATCACAATAA